TAATCTATGGGTTGTTTTATTGATAAGGAACCCAAAAAAATAATAATAATAAATTTGTGTTCGATAAATCCTCCATCGTTGTTTCTTTTTGACTTAGTGATGAGAAAACGCTTGAGAAACCAACATCTTTATTATTATTTTGTATTTATTCAATTTATTAAATCCAAATAGTCCTTAAATTATGAGCGATATATTCTTTTTCATTATGACCAAATTGCCCAATGTGGAAGGAATCAAATAGCCTTTCTAGAAATAATGTTTTTTCATTATTATTTTTAATTTACTTTCTAGAAATAATCTACGTTTATTTTCAAGAGAACAAAAATAAATAAGGTACGTTCTATAATATCACCAAAAATAGGATAATAAAATTAATGCTAAAATAAACTATCACGGTCATTTATCTAAAATTTTATATTTCAGTATTCACACAACATAAACTTCATAGTACTATAAAATTTTATTTTATTTGATGAATTTAATATTGAATTTTACAATTTAGTTATTTATCAAGTTTTGTATAAAAACAGATTTAATAAGAAAATAGTAAAATTATAATGTCTTTAAGCTTGTGCATGCATCATAATTAAAAACATTAAATTTATCCTTATCGTTGAATATGATATAGTTACTTAATCTTATATTTATACTATTTTTAAGGTGTATGGTCCAATTTCACACTCGTCATTATTAACTAAAAAGATATAATATAATTGGATTTTTTTAAAGTAAAATACAAACTATTCTGCATATGAGAGAGAAATATCAAAAGCATCTAAATGAGTTGTTCCGTATTGAAACAGAATTCCTATTTCGGAAATAAAAACATATTTGTAATTTAGTTTTATACATAAAACTTATTAAATAATGGCCAAACAACCCCTTGGTTTATGCATTTTATTTAAAGATTACGTATGTTTATTATCAACTTTCTTATATCATTATATTAACAAAATAATTAAATTAATTTTTAAAAAATTAGTTACATTAAATTATTGAAATTGCGTTAAAGATTATTGAGAGAAAAGAATAGGGCTAAGATTTGAAATGAAAACTTTTAAAATTAAGAATTTAAATTTAAAAAAGTAAAAATAAAGAGGAAAAAGGGTATAGAAAACAAAGACAAAATTGGAAATTAGAGTAATAAATGTCAAAAAAGTGGACTTGAATTTAGAGCCCTAAAAAGGTGAAAGGGCATGGGTTGACCGTTGCGATCAAATCAGGGTTTAATTTAGGGCACAAAATGAAGTTGTCTCTTTTCAGTAGGCAATTCAATTCTTTTCATTGTAGAGTTTTCATTTCATATATATATATATATATTTTTTTTTTCAATCCAATTAACTAGCATCATCAACGTCGTACCATTTAAGCCATAGCCAAACACCCCTTTTCTTTAATTTTTTAAAAATCGGTTATAAAAATACTTCAAAAAAATTATTGTGTTCTTCGTTTACTTATTGATTTTAAAATATAATATTTGGAGTATAGTTGGTGATTATAAGCCATGTTTTAAATTCGATATCAATGAAATTGTCGATGTCGTCAATCTAAGCATGGTTTAACTGGTTAAGACACTTAATTCAAATCAATAGATTGTGAGTTCGAATCTCCAAATCGACTTAAAAACCACTCAAAATACTGCATAAAAACAATATTTTTTTTCTTTTCAACAATTGTGACATAAACGAGTTCTCTGAAATTTAACAACAATATATATATACACCCTTTTTAAGTTTAGTTAAAATTTTAAAAAAGCTAACTTTTTTTTAAATAGCAAACTATGCAACATATTTTTACGAAAATATATTTTTTTATAAAGGATGTGTTACTACTTTTTTAGGATAAAATAATTTTTTTATCCAATTGCAATAACTTGATTAAACAACTCATTTTGATTTATATTACAAGTATTGGGATAAAAAAGTAGGTATAAGTTAGAAGATTTAAGTAATACTATAATTATAATGTTAATATAATGCAATTATTGACATTGTTATACGATATGCGTTAGGTAAGGACATGGGATCACATGAACGAGAATCCCCATAGTTGGACAATGGGTTTTGCTCCATCTTATTGAAAACTTCTTCTTCTTTTTTTTTTTTTTAAGAAAATGGTCAAATTCATTGAAATATATTAGACCATCCAAATAGCAATAAATAATTACTTCAGAAAAAAGAAAGAGAAAAAAACTAAGAAGTTTTGCTTAATTGCCGACATCTTCCTTTCTTTAATTGAGAATAAAAAGCAAATTATTAAAAAAAAAAAAAAACTGTCCAAGTTTATTAAATTTTGGTATATGAAACTTAAAAAAAAAACTATCAATTTAGTTGCTAATTTATATATTTTAGTTTCTGATATGATAATAAAATAAAATAATTAAATCATTCTAGTCTTATTATTATTCTGTCACCTAATATTCGATCAATTTATACGATTCTAAGGTAGATTCATGTCATACATTAATAAAACTATTAATACAACACAATAGTTTTTTGAGTTCAATATGTGTGGGTAGGGGATCGAACTCATAACTTTTTTATTGTAGATATATATCAATTATCGTTGAACTATGTTTGATTTGACAACATAACAGTTAAATTATTAATAACAAAAAAGCTAAACGTTCTAGCAAAACGATTGGTTTTCAAAATTAAAACTAATGAGATAAAATAAATTTAAAATTTTGGATATCTAGAATTAATATCGTAAAAGTTCGAGGATGAAAATGAAATAAAAATAATAATATTTTAAATTAATAAAGAGACAAAAAAAAAAGAAAGAAAGGTCCCCTCCCAACAGAGAGTCTGGTTGGATGGTAAATAGGAAGTCAAATGTCAGCTGGGCCCCACAAGGGACTTCTGGTCCTCGCTGGCTGCGTGTTCAATTATTATTATTATTTATATATATATATATTTTTTTTTTCGGGTTCCGTTTTTTCGCGTCGCATTTGATTTTCTTCGTCTAGTTACCAACTTGCAGAAAAACGAGTCCCTATCTGACGTCGTTTTACTTCGTTGAAAATTGAAATCCTACTCCGAAGTGGGGATCTCTGTCGTTGACATCTCATCAAATTTCCTTTTTTTTTTCTTTTTCTTTCTTTAAAAAAAATATTCTCCCTTTATTTTAATTATTATTAAACATTATCCAAATTACGAGAAATTACAAACCTGTCAGTGACTCCAATTAAATTCTTAAAACAAAAATTGAGATTTTTTACCACTTAAATTTCTAGCCTAATTGATCTAATTGCATTAAACAATCATAAGAATAACAAGATCTACACATGAATAATTTGTCAAATTTAACTTAATTATAAATAGTTTAACCAACTATATTAATGTGAATAATAATTAAAAAAAGTTATTTATACATTGAAATTTCAAATATATTATTCAACCGTTAACTTTATTATTTAAAAACAGTAAATTTGTTATCAAATTCATATAAATTATGGGCAAATAAGAATAAAAAAAATAGTCACCCTAAGAAAAGAAGACTTTTCTATTTTATTTTGTGTGATAATTATTGAGCATTGGGAATGTTAATGGATATATACCACAAGAAACTTTGATGGGTAGCCTTAATTGCATGTGGGTTATTAAGATAAGAATATAGATGCTGAGATTCTAAGCATACAGTTCCTCTTTATCACTACCTACTTGTGAAAATTTTGAAACCCAATTTGGTTTTGAAGATGCTTTTCTTCTTTCTCTTAACTCACTTCTCTGCCTCTTCGTTTGGGAAATAGAAGATTGCGACATGCTACTAAATTTATATAAACTTGATCGTAAAGAAAATAAAAATGGTATACCATAAGAGAATTTTAATTTAACTGAGTCTTGTGAGGTAAGAAGTAATTCTCGCTTAATATGTATGACATGTATTGTTTTTGGCATATAAACGGACAGCTAGTTGAAAAATGATTTTCACCTTAAATCTATAATACATATTATACTAGCGTAAAAAGAGAAATTTATGTATCTTTTAATTTAAAACTAAAGTAGAGTATTTTTTTTTTTTGACAGTGATAACGACAATAAAGTGGGACAATTCAAACGAGTAGGTTCTTTCGTACTTATAGTCTCTATTAACCTTAGGTAGGAATTAAGACTTGAGACTTCATATTTATCCCGATATAGAAGGATGAACCAAACAATATGAAGTTAATTATACCTTCCACAAAGCAAAAAGTGAAATATTGACAATAGTTAATGAACAAGCAAAATACATAATACCAACCTTATCCTTTTCATCATATGAATGGTTATCCCAACCCATCAATGCTAAGTAAGCCCATTGTCCTTTTGCATCACAACTGCCAATATATATTTAATGGAATTATTTGGTTGGAGAAAAAAGTGACAAATTTCTTTATATATTTATGACTAAGGTCAAAATCTAGAGGGATTTGAAGAATGTCTTGTTTGAAAAGCAATGAGAATAATATTTATGTATTTGAGTCTTAATTCGATGTATAGGTAGATATTATCCTCTTGAGTTCAACATATTCTAAAAAAAACCTATATAGACAAGAAAACAAAGGAATGTTTTTTATTCATGAAATAGTTTAGACAACCTGTATCTTTAGTAAAATTAGATTATCAAATACTCCATCTCCAAATACGTATATTTTTTGAAATATTAATTTGAATAAAGTTAATAAGTAAAAAGATCACTTGGGGTGATCCGTGATAATATCTCTGCCTCTCTCTAAAGGGTCGTAACTCTGAATTGCTGCCTCTATATTTTTGATAAATTCTATAAAAAAAAAAGGAAATTCAGAGCTGCTTTTTTTTTTAATTTATTTTAATGATTAAAGTTGAAATATTTATTCTCCATTTGTAAAAATAAAAAATTGGAGCAAAAGGACTAAAGAGGCCTTGGGCCCTAAAGACAAAGCCCTAAAGCCCATATAATCTGTGAATTTAGGGCCGATTTTGTCGCGTTCGATGAACGAAGACTACGAGACTTTGACTCCGTAGAAACTAGACAGAGAAGAAATTAAAAAAATATATATAACGAAAGTTTTCCGTTCTCCGACTAAACGCGGGAAAAACGAAAACCCTATCACCGGTGCCGGCGAGGTGGATCAGCGGCGGTGGAGGAAGAATGGCGCCATTGTCGCAGAGCTCTCAACCATGGGTGGAGAAATAGTACGTTTCACTTCTCATTCTTTCGTTTCACTAATTTCTCATAATATCATTCGTACTGTCAACCATGGGGCATTTTTGACAGTCGACCGAAGCAAGTGAAAGATGTAGCGCATCAGGATGAAGTGGTTCGAGTCCTCACCAACACTCTCGAGACTTCTAGTGTACTTCATCGACTTCTCTTCTTTTTTCGTAGTAGTGATCGTATTTATCTTCTTAATCCAGCGTTATTTTTCTTCTCGATTGTTGGTTGAACAGTGTCCTCACATGCTTTTCTATGGACCGCCTGGTACCGGGAAAACCACCACCGCTCTCGCGATTGCTCATCAACTTTTCGGGTCCTTTTCTGCTCATATCTGTTTTTATAAAGTTGTATTTATGCGTGCCTCTTCAATTGTTATTGCTTTTTAGGAGGTTGTGAATTGATGTTTAGTAGTTCAGAATCCTTTCTAAGAAATATCTTGGATTCTCTTCATAGATGGGTTTGTAGGTTTCTAATGCGCAGTTCGCATGCTCGTATATATGTACAAAGGTTATCGGTTAAGGTTTTTGTCTGAGTTGTATATTCATGAGCTTTCTCAACTGCTGAAGTTATTAATATATCATGGCCTCACTATCTTGATGGTTGAATACTAGTTGTCAAGACTTGGGGAGGTTTTTGCTCAAAGGGACCTGTGATTTGCTTGTTTGAGAATTAAACTTCAACCTAATTCGATTTATAAAATGCCCAGACCATTGTTTTGCTGCATAACACATTAAGGTGCTATTTGAATGTCTTTTTAAGTTCTTATCTGATATAAAAAATTTATCTGTAGCCCCGAACTTTACAAGTCCAGAGTTTTGGAGTTGAATGCAAGTGATGACCGTGGGATCAATGTTGTTCGGACTAAGATCAAAGATTTTGCTGGTGTTGCAGTAGGCAGTGGCCAGCGTCAAGGGTAACTTTCTTAACCTTAGCTACCATTTTCACAACATTTCTGTTATGAACTTCTCACTTATTTATTTATTTTAATTATTTTAGGGGTTATCCTTGTCCACCGTTCAAGATAATAATTCTGGATGAGGCTGATTCAATGACTGAAGACGCTCAGGTGTGATCATAGTCTAGATGCAATCTATTTAATTTATTAGAGTTTCTACGAGTTTAGTTTTTTCCCTGATACTGAACATTATGTAGAATGCCCTGAGGCGTACCATGGAAACACACTCCAAAGTAACAAGATTCTTTTTTATATGCAACTATATCAGCAGGTGAAGCTTAGCTTCCTTTATAGTGTTTAAATATCTCTTTTTATTGTTGCTGTTGATTTACTTTTTGTATTTGTGCTTTGGATATTCACGACATGCTTCATCCTTTTATGGAGTAAATTCATGATCATAATTGATAATTCATAAGATGTTTGCATTTTTGGCCACTTATGAAGGAGCAACGAGTGAGTCGGTAGTAATTTGCTTATGGTAAAATCATTGAGACAGTGTAAGAGGGTATGTGGTTGGAATCTCTGAGAACAATAGTAGATGACTACAACCTTGGGGCGGGCACGGGAGCCCGTGGGTATAGGGGAGCAAAGTTCAAGGAAAAAAAAAAGTAGATGGCCACAATAGTTTTTAACTAAATTGCAATTTAATTGTCTTAAAAGTTAAATTCACAATGAGTATGGGAGGTGAATTTCTGAAAACACGTGGGTGAGCACAATAATATTTAGCTAGTTGCAACTTGATTTCTATGAATATTTTGATATTCACAATCTTTTGTATTAATGTATATATTTTGGCAACATTTGTACAATGTATGGAAATATTGCCTTGTCTTTCTCATGCATCCTAAATGGCCCGTACTCATATTTTTGGAATAGAGGAAAGTGATTCCTCAATTGTTTCTGGTTTCTACAATGGTCCATTTCTACTTGGCCTTGAATTTGGTGAAGCTAAACCATCATCTTAGTGCTTTGTCTATCCGTGCAGGATCATAGAGCCCCTTGCTTCCAGGTGTGCAAAATTTAGGTTTAAACCACTTTCTGAAGAGGTTATGAGCAAACGTATTTTGCACATTTGTAATGAAGAATGTCTAAGTCTAGATGGAGAGGTTTGCTCATAGTTACTTAGCATTACAAAGTATGGTTTGAAGTAAGTTATTGGCATGACCAATGTGTTCTGAACTTACAATCTATGTAGGCTCTTTCAACCTTAAGTTCAATCTCTCAAGGTGACCTACGTCGAGCTATCACATACTTACAGGTACGATTTAGTCTGCAGCATTGCACTTATTTCAGTCAACGACTTAGCTTTTGCTATCCCATGCTGAACATGCATGCATTTGGAGCTTGGATAATTAAGAGGAGACTAATCAATCGTTCTATTCTACTAGAATAAGTCGAAGTTCTATTTTAGTTTGGGGCTACATTAAACTAACCTGATTGCATGCCCTCTACGTGGAGAACAATTTACCTTTCCTGTTATTTTTGGTGATCATTTGGGATGAGAAATGTTGACCATTTGTTGCTATTGAATAGTAGAATTTATTTCCTATATAACTTACTGTACTTGTAAAATTGGAGTACCGAAAAAAATTGCATTAGGGTAGACTTCACACCAACTACGTTTGGAGTTGTACATAATGTCTAACTTCTATATCTCTCGTAACGGAAATACTTGAGGATCGGATGAGCTTCTGTTGTGTTAATAAGTAGGATCAAATTATGAGAGAATTAGATGAATAATAAATCCAATCACTCATTGAATATTGTCAACAAGCTCAATTGTTGTAGTTATTTGTATTAGAAGTCAGCTTAGTAAGTTAAGTTACTTTTCAGGCACTCTTGGTCAGTTGACTCAATTTATAGTTGAAAATAGAATAGTTTCTATCTTTTCTAACTGCTTTTTACACTTCTTTAATAAACATTCTCATCCTTCAGCTAGCAACTGAATGTTGATATTCCTAATGGAGATTCTTGTTTTTTTCTCTCCAGTCAGCTGCACGCTTGTTTGGATCATCAATCTCTTCCAAGGATCTAATTAGTGTGTCTGGGGTTAGTTATGCAATTTTTTTATTATTTTATTATTTATTATTTTTTGAAGTCATAGCATCCTTAGAATACAAAGAAAGTAAATAGTTAAAAATGGTTATGCTTCACTTTGCTCCTTTGATGAATGTTGATCCTGACCCGTAAACAAAAAGTTTGTATATGCCTTGCCCTTATGTCCATGGCTTTCAACTTCTTTCAGAACCCAATTCCTTGGATGGCTAATGGTCCTTTCTGAAACTGTGGCATTGGAGAATGATCCTAAGTACTATTTGTGATTTTTTTTTTCTTTTGGATGGTTGGATTTTTAACTAGATAATGTTTCATATTGTAGGTTTTGTATGAGTTTTGAGTGTTCCATATTCTGCCATCAATTATTTAACTTATGCTAGATTTTTCGGCTGTTTGGCAATTTAATAGTTGATGAATTCTCTCATCTTGTTCTCAAAAGCATGCTTAATAATTTGCTTGCAACATATTTCGCACGGAATTGTCTTATATTTTGAGGACTCGTAGTATCTAACTTTTTAACACATGCAGGTTATCCCTCGAGAGGTTGTCAACGCACTATTTGCTGCTTGTAAAAGTGGTAACTTTGATCTTGCGAACAAGGAAGTGAATAATGTAACTGCAGAGGGATATCCAGTGGCTCAGATGCTTTCACAGGTTTATTCTTTTTCAATCTATATTGTGTTATTTTGTTCTTAAGGGTGGACGGAGATACGTAATACATTAATGTTTCCCTCAGATATTTGAGGTGGTTGTTGAAGCCAATCATTTGCAAGATGAACAGAAGGCTAGGATATGCAAGAAGTTGGCTGAAGCAGATAAGGTTACTCTATCCATTTCCATGTTGAATTTCGTATTTTCTGTTCCAAAATTCATGTGATTTTTGCATTAGCTATGCTCAGATTAGCAATAGAAGTTTGTTTTTTGTTCTTTTCGAAGTTGCATTAAATAACTTATACGTCAAATATTTTTGTTTGGTTTGTTTTCCGTTTTAGTTATAAAATACGTGGATCTAAATTGAATTTTACCCCGGTAATTTTCTTGAGTGACATCTAGATCATGCAAACAAACATTTTTGTCGTGCAGTGTTTGGTTGATGGTGCAGATGAATATTTACAACTGCTCGATGTGGTTAGTCAAACAATGCAAGCCTCATGTAGTATGCAACCGTGAATCTTTTATCAGAGTTGAGCAGTTTAACTGTAAATCTTTGATTAGAGTCGAGCAGTTTCAGAATTGGATAGATCTACATTTAATGTCTGTATAGAAACAAAGTACTGGACTCGTACAAATTGTTCGTACAAATTGTTTAAACTGTGTTGTATTGTAGCTGATGCTTACCTAGCTAATTGACTTATTAAATATTTTCTATTTAATTTCTTTCATTTTGTTCTGCATTTGTTTTTATTTCATCCAATGGTAGAAACAGAGCAGTCAGGAAAAGAATTATTTGTATGATTCCTAAACCAAAAGATCCTTATTACTGTTTATTAAGTCAGTTTGCATATTGATTGGATTTGCTTTAGAGGCCGTATTAGTTATAATTTATTTTAGCTGAAATAATTATGATTTGAGGTTATATGTATCCACGTGTCACAGATATTTTAGGTGAATAAGGATAATAAGAGAAGTAAAGAGTGGCTAAAATTGATATAACAAAAATTGAAGTTATTATATTAAAGTTATATATAACAAAAACTGATAATTTTTATTAATAAACTACAACAATGGAGTTATTACAAAATAAAAATGGATATTTTTTTATAAATTTTTTTTTAACCGTTGTGATTAAATCATAATAAATTTTAAATTATATAAACTAAAATTGTTACATATTAAAATTCATGACTAAATTTTTAACTATAAATATATTACAACAAAAAAATATAATCTTTTAGGCTGTGCTAAATGGACAAAAATTTCATAAAAGAACCAAAATAAATATTTATAAATTTAAAGATAATTTAATTAAGAGATTTAGACTTAAAAATAACAAATCTAAACTTTGTTAATGAAACTAAAGTAAAATATAAAGTTTTATCTTATCTCCATTAGCTTAGGCCAGCCTAACATTTTCAGTAAATTTTGTTAATGAATGTAGGAGAGGCTCTGTTTTTTTGTGTTTCAATTATAATCAAATATTTATGTTTTTTTATTACTCTATTTCTTTTATTATAATTCTTAAATATTGACACCTATTCTCGATCACGAAGCCGTGAGTTCGAATCCACACTCCAACTAGTTAAAAGAAAAAAGAAAAAATAACAATAATAGTGAAGATATGGGTGAAGAAAAATGTTGTTTCCATGTTAATGCAACGTTTATGATAAAAAAATTTCACTATGTTTACATAAGGTTGAAAAATATTATATTTGCATTACCAATGAAATTTTATATACAGTCTTTAATAAATTAATAAAAAAAAATATATTTATACAAAATAGATCTTTAAATAATATATAATTTTGTGTTTTCGGACATTTTCTCATCAAGGTCTATCATTAACAAGTTAAAATTTCTTTAAAATATGACTTTTTCCTTTTATAATGTCATTTGAGTGTAACTTTAACACTATTAAAAATATTAGTAAATTTCTAAATATCAAAGTTGAAATTGTCGTCTTGTTTGAACTTTTTTTTGTTATTACCCTAGAGTCGACGACCCTTTGATCTTTATGCCCCTATACATGAGAGTATGCGCATTCTCCTCGTACCCATACATAAAAAGAGTTATTGTTTGATGGAAGTCAAAGTTGTTTGGACTTTAAAATAAGATATCAAAATATTTTAATTATATGTATAAGAAAATTATGGTGTCTTTCTCTTACAACCATAAACGTTCACTAATTAGGTAGTCATGTTGGGACTTAGTTGATGTTTTCCATAAACCATAAAATTAATTTATTTGTCAAAGATAAGTTTTTATATAGTTTTTTTACTAAGAATATTCCCTCTCATCATCATCAATACTTTACTTATAAGGTACGTCCTTCATTAATACTTCAATTATTTGAACTCTAATGGGAACCTGCAACCCTCTTTATATATATGTGTGTGTTTTTCAATACCCTCTTCTTTTTTTTTTCCTTTTTGTCTATTTACCTGATGAATAGATGTTAATTGTGGACAAATATTTAAAATTGCATGTAATAAACAGACTTGAAACTAGGTGCAGGCAATAAAAACAAAATTAAAATAATATTTAAAAAGGGGCCAGGTTAAATCAAGAAATAAAAACAAAGAAGTTAAAAAAACTAAACAAAATTTTAACAAAACAAAATTTAATTAACTTAAAAAACAAGAACAAATCTATGTTAGGTGAAGGCAACCTAGACAAAATTTCTGTGTCACCAAAATAGGGTGCCTTGTAAGAACACCATTAGTGACCTCCATGTGTGGTCTTGAGAGAGAAAATTCTTAAAATTTAAGGAAGGGAACAGTGTTTGACCTTTAGATGAAACCTGGCATGCCATGCATGAACTTACATGGTTCAAGCTGCAGCCATCCCGAGATTGAACTCTTTAGAAATGACAATGACAATGACACGACACCGATTCTTGTGTTTCTGACTTAGATTGGATCTCGGGGTGGAGCGGTGGAGGAGAGGGTCATTGTCTAGCATAGAAGCGATAGTCACTCATCTAGAATTTAATATTTCAGAGTTTCCTTGACAACAAATTGTAGGAAGGTCATGATCAGGTGATTGTCTCGTGAGATTAGTTTAGACGTGTACAAGTTGGCTCGAATACTCACACGGAAAAAAATTGTCGTTTTAATTTCTTAATTTATCAGGTTTTTTATAATTGGATGATTGCATAAAAAAATTTCCCTTTTTTCATGAATTTTTTTAAACTCTCCACCCTTGATTAGGTGTAGTACTTTCTAGACCATATATTTCGTAATCATAATAGTACATTCAATCTACTTTGATTTAAAAAAAAAATTAATGAATCCACCGAGTTAGAGATTCGAATCTTCATCCCTACATGTGGTTGAATTTAAAAAAAATTTTCAAAACATTCGAGTAGGTCGTGTTGTGAGTTGCCTTTAATTCATTTACTTTATCAGCTTTTGATTTACACGTTTTATTTTAATTTCTATATAATTTTGAAAATTTAAATTGAGAATTATTTAATTCTCAATCACTGGCTGCTGACTTACTTGAAAGTTTAGCATGCAAGCGTATACATGAACCCAATAAAAAATAATTAGAAACTTTTAGTGGTAGTCTGTCCAGAAAAGATTATTTTATTTTCTTGTGAATGTGCTTCCTTTTTTAGTATAATAAATTAGAAATCGAATCAATTAAGCCATTAATCTATAAAGAAAAATATTAAAAAATTAAGAGAAACTTGCTTTTGTGCTGAGCCCGAAGTTACTCTTTTTTACAAATCAAAGTAAATGAACAGCTTCGTTTGCCAATAAATTTGGCTGCTACTAAATCTTCTTATAAGTTCGATTCATCACAAGAGAAGTTAGGAGATGATGATAGACATTAAACTTTTACTAAAGAGTTTAAGATAAACTAAAACGTTGAAAATAAGTTATGCACTAATTATTTTAGAACAAATATATGATTATAAACTGGACATAGAAAGTACTTAATTCTCACACTCATATGATGTACTAAAAAGATTTCGAAAAACAAAATTCAACTAACAATAAGAATTTCATTTAATCTCGACCTCATGGCATTTGGAGCATTAACATATACATTGCAACACACCTCAAATACATCTGATTGTATATCATTTATATTTATTATTATTATTATTATTATTATTTAAATTTAGATCCTTGTAGTCCTACATTTGGAATCAAATCATATTTGAGTCATTGGTCATTCCATTTGATTCCTTGTGGCCCTTAACCACCTTCATTATTTCACTTTCATGGCATATTATTATTAGTTGGGTGTCATTTATTGATGTGACATTTAATCAATGATAATTCACAAACCAAAGAAATCTATTTTTTCTCTATATATTATGATAGAGCTACTGTTTTTCTAATCAATTTTTGTTGTCGGTAGAGTTTAAAATGTTTTGTTTATCAATTGCTTGTCGGAAATAATTAATCGCTTACAAGTTTCTCTATATAAATATTAAATAATCGCAAATACCTACAATTATTAATCAAAAAATAACTTTAGTATTTTGGCACTTGGCTTCCTCCATATGGCATTTTGCTAGCCATTTGACTCCTATTGATGTTGATATTGAAATTCTTCTTATTTAATTTCTCTTTCTGATTTGTGATATTTTTGTCCCGCTATCGCATATTATATTGTTCTTGGTCCATTTATAGAAACCCATTTATTCAATACACTAACTTATATTTGGCCACATTAAAAATTTAACAGAAACTCCCAAATATGAAACTGACCCACGTGACAGACATAGAACAAGCCCAAGTACCAATCCCATTCAAATTAATGGCAAAATAAAATTGATGGGTGTGGCTTTAGATTTTGCAAGCTGCAATACGAGTGTATAAGATCATTTATAAAATGGACATAATTAGCAAACCACAAAGACGTAATTTGTAATTATGCCTAATAAATAAACAACTTCTAGAGGGAGAGTTGACAAATTAAATGTTCATATATTAATTAAGGTGATTTTGGATTAAAATATTAGAAGGCACGATCCTGTGCAGCCTATTCCTTAACCCATAAACTATGCCTTCAAATTAGTAAGAATTAATTATAGTAAAAGTCAATGATCATCAAAAGCACATTCATGTGAGAGTCAAAGGCAGGACCCAGAAGATAAAAAGTCAACATTATCAACGGTGGTGTGGTCGGCACAGATTTGTATTTCAAGTAACATGATAGCTTTATACGTGTGTGCAAAATGGACGTTATATAGAGAAATTTTTGCCACCTGTGACAAAGATTTAGGGTTACCATTGAAATGTTTGATCTTATCATCATCTCAAGCCATCGAAACAGATAATGAAATTTTGTTAATAAAAACAACAAAAATCATTTGAATTAGCTTAAATTAATTCTAATATGGGGGAAATCAAGTATTAATTTCGAGTTCTAATTAATTCAACTATCAATTTGATTATAGTTTAAAACATTCGTTAAAAAAACACTAGTTAAGACATTATAATCCCAACCAAAAAGCAAAAAATCAAATCTCACCTCTACGTATTATTTAACTAAAAAAAGTAAAAATTATCATTTCCCATGTACAAAATCAGACGGTGGAGATTTAACCATAAGATCATTATGAAATGATTATGGCACATCTAGTGATACGACTGGATATGCAGCCCATGATTGATAACCTCCAAGTTTAAATGATTGCAGACAATCAAAATGAGTCGGTAAACACAATTAGTGAACGAATATAATTAAATTAATGAAAACCAATTAATTACTAACTTAATGAGGTGTGTGAGGGACCCCCCTGAAGTTGAGTGCTTGTGTAATGCGTTGCTAAAAAAAGTGGAACTTCAGAGGGCGTTGACTTTGTGAAAAATTATTTTACCATTATTTATATATTTCCATTCAAAATCTTTTATTTAAAATATAAAAAAAAAAGGTCACCGTCCCATTTCAAAGGGGTACTTATTTAGAAAGAAAAGGGATTTAATTACTAAAGGGTTGACATCCAAGTTGGAGGGAAACTGTTATAAATATGGCCTAAAGCTTCCCCTTCTAATCCAACCAACATAAAACTCTCTTATCAACTTCATCACCTTAATCCATCTCTCTCTCTATCTCTGAAAACACTGTTTTCCCTTTGGGCTGATTCAGTTTCCAATGGCAATCCCCATTATTGACTTCTCAAAGCTTAATGGAGAAGAAAGAGCCAATACATTGGCTCAGATAGCCAATGGCTGTGAAGAATGGGGATTCTTTCAGGTTTCTTTTTTCTACTCGTTCGACTTATTTCAAGTTAGATTTGTGATTACTAGAAGCAGAGCGAAAAAAGAAGAAATAAAACTTTTCCCTCTCCCTAAGAAATAAAAGTAGGGGGTGGTGTTTTTAGACATCCTATTTCGTGCTAGAATTAGTTAAATGTTAATAATATTGTTGACTAGATATGGTACTATTTGACATTCAGCTGGTGAACCATGGGATTCCTGAGGAACTCTTGGAGAGGGTGAAGAGGGTGTGTTCAGAGTGCTACAAGCTGGAAAGAGAAGAGAGTTTCAAGAGTTCAAAACCTGTGAAGCTTCTGAATGATTTGCTGGAAAACAAGAGCGGTGAGAAGCTGGAGAATCTTGATTGGGAAGATGTCTTCCTTCTCCATGACGAAAACGACTGGCCCTCCAACATTCCTGGATTCAAGTAAGCAAGCATCTTATCTTACACTCCAAACTTTATGCTTTTTCATAAAAAGGAATTCAGTGAAAATATATACATTCTACAGTCACATTTTCTTAAAAGCAGAAAGTTGGTCTCAAAGCAACTAACGAGTGGTTCTTAATGATGTTGTTTATGAATCCAAATATGGCAGGGAAACCATGGCAGAGTACAGATCGGAGCTGAAGAAGCTAGCAAAAAAGGTGATGGCAGTGATGGATGAGAACTTAGGTTTACCTGAGGGATACATAAACGCTGCCTTCAATGGTGGCGAAGGGCTGGAGAAAGCCTTCTTTGGCACCAAAGTCAGCCACTACCCACCATGCCCACACCCAGAGCTGGTGAACGGCCTCCGTGCACACACTGATGCTGGCGGTGTCATCTTGCTCTTCCAAGACGACCAGGTGGGAGGCCTTCAGATCCTGAAAGATGGGCAGTGGATAGATGTGCAGCCATTACCCAACTCCATAGTCATCAACACAGGTGACCAGATTGAGGTCCTGAGCAATGGAAGATACAAAAGTGTCTGGCACCGGGTTTTGGCCATCCCAAATGGGAACAGGAGATCAATTGCTTCATTTTACAACCCATCAATGGAAGCCACCATAGCTCCTGCAGCACAGCTGGTGGATAAAGCAAACCAGGAGGTGGAACAAAGATATCCCAAGTTTGTGTTCGGAGACTACATGTCGGTTTATGCTGAACAGAAGTTCCTCCCAAAGGAACCAAGGTTCCAATCTGTGAGGGCAATGTGAGGGACATTAATCAAAAGGAGATATTGATAGACTTCACTCTCCTGATGGCCTTTATCCAAAGGGTTTTCATGTAGTAGTGACTAAGATTTGAATAATGCAACTTTTTCTCCCCCCCTCCCCCAAAAAAAATAGCCACCCTCCTTTGGGTCGTGTGTGTTTCTTTTAGTAATTTGCTTTTATTTCTCCATTTGTTTCGTGTTGTGTGTTGTGTAATGTGTCCAAAGGACCTATATTAAGTAATGTTTTCCAATACTATCATTATCTTACACACATGCACATATATATCATGATGTATTCATGTAATTTATTGGGTTTATAAAACTAAATTTTGAGAAAATTTATCATTTAAAAAAAATAAGTATACCTTGATAGGGAAAATCCACCAAATATGACATTGTTTTCCATTTTTGTTTACTTTTATGATTAATTCTTAAACATATAAAACATGGCTTATTACTAAATTAATTGAACTTAATTTTCTTGACATACTTTTGCATATCCAATCATGCATATTTAATATCTGCACATATATAAATCTCATATGTAACTTCAAAATATTCATTATCTATGTCCATCAAATAAAACATGCAATCCAAATAAGCTATCGACATTTAATTGTTATTCTCAAAAAGAAATTTAAGAAGTATCATCAAAATGTTAGTTTTAAAAGTTCAATAGCAATTGTCTTCTATGCATTTAATCTTCTCATCAAATTAATCATACAATTAACTAAAGAGAATATTGAGTAAGAATGGTTCAATCCCATCTTTCAGTTCACATTTACTTTCCGTCCTACTCTTTCTCTCTTTCTTTTTCTTTCTTTTACTACAAGTAAAGGACTCAATAAAAATTCTCCACGCGTATCCTAATAAGAAAATGGCAAATTCAAGCAAATGAGTAGTGATTTACCTGTTAGAGGGTGGCACAATAACCATGCATCAGCTAGTTCATTAATCTCCACATAAATCTTCTGTGTTGCTTGCAAGTCGGCTTAATATAACTCAAATTTTCAGCTTACAAGCGTGAAGATGTCATTGACTCATTAGACAATGAATAAAGACCCCGTGTTTTCTTCATCTCCGTTGATTCTTTTTTTTTTCTCTTTTGGTTCTTACTATACAATCAATCAAGGTTTAACATTTTCTACAACTCCTAAACAAAAATAAAGCTTCAATAACATTAAACTCAAAGGAAACAGAGAAATTCTAACCAAACCTTCACAGCACGGCTCCTACCACAATCTTTGGTTCTTACTAGTTTCAAGTCGTGCTACTCCAGGTTCTAACTCTGTCTATCAGCATTTGCCTTCCCGATAAATCTTCTTCATAACCCACAACCTACAAACATTGACCTCTTAACAGGCTGGAACTAATAACCAAATAATGAGCATGTTCCTTTCAAATTCAATGATGATTCTAAAATCTTATAAGTTGCAATTTAATAGTTCTCCCAAAATGGGGGAAGAATTTGTAAAAATGCAACAGAATTATAAATGGCAAAAAAGACACCTGAGACTCAGTTTGCGTTTCACTAAAACCATCATATATGCCTGCCCTTCCATCCCCAGTAGGATTGCCAATTTCTTCTTTTCTCTCAGTTCTGAATATACATAACAAAAGTCTCAGTAACTGAGTTGCAAAGGCAAAACAATAACAGTCTAAGAACGAGTTTAGTATAGCTTTTGAGGGACTTGTTTTTTAGTGAAAACACTTTTTTTTGTAATCAAATTTTTGAAGGAATATAAACCCTAAACTTTTCACTGTGCCCAATTCATCTTTAAAATACAGGGTTGTTAGATCTATTTTTAAAAATAGCCTACTGCTTTTATTTTCAAACCTAGTTTTAAAAATATAATTCAGAGTAATTTGTAAATAATAAGACTATTTTGCACTTAAAACTACTACCCATACTCTGGATGAAAGCATAACTTCAATTGTTCTAGAAAAAAATTCATCCGTGAAAAGTAAAAAACAAAACAAAACAAATGAAACTCTGTTTTAGGAAACTGACTTTCATAAAGACATTGTTGAATGGTCTCATTAAATCCCATCCAGCAATTATCTCATTAAACACTCCCATTCAGCATGGTCTTTCCATGAAAAGATCGGGGAGAGATGGTCAAAGTTTACCTTTTTAACCACGGGTTAGATAAACCAATAATTGGATGAGATTCTGAATGGTCCTGGTCTTGACCAACGATGGAACAGTCAGACGGGAAAATCTGGTACCATTAAGGACTAAACCAAATGCAAAAGAAACCAAAACTTTAGACATAAAAAACATGATTCCAATAAAAGGATACACTTTTATTGCAGTCCTTCCTTCCAGGTGACTTCAGGTCATGAATCTTAAGAAGAAAGTGCCAAAAAAGGTTGATAGAGAGATGAAAAAAATAGAATGAAGTAATGGAATTAAAGCTCATCCATATTTTACCTTACTTGTCTGCTCCAACAAGTCCTCAATTGCAGAAGCAACATCAGGAACATGTGAAGTTACTACAGAAGATTTTGATGTAGTTTCTTTGGTGGAGTTCAAATTGCAATCAGAGTGAGTGAGACTATTTCCAACAAAAAGTGGACACTTCTGTTTAGCTTCGTCAAGAAGCTTGGGCTTTTTATTAATATAGCTTAGTTGTTTGACCTCTCCCATAGAACTACCGATGGTTCCAGCTGATTGGTCATTCTGGATGGCAGAATGTATTGGGAACTGGGATTGACTTTCTCTAGCTATCATTTGGACAGCTTGTGTAGGAAACTGACTAACAGTGCATAACCCTGCCTCTGTGTCTTGAGCTGTAACTTCTTTTGGACGATACAAATCAAGAGAAACAATCTTACTCTGAAAATTTTGTATTCAAACAATATCATTCCATTTCTAAGAGAAAAGAAAGACAGACAATGGGTCCTGTATTTCTGTCAGGACATGCATACATAAGTGAATATCTATAATGAAGAGCGAGAGAATAATGAAGATACCTGTCTAACACACTCGTATATCCATTCAGCTGTAGTTGAATGTATTCCCCATTTACAAGCAGCCTCATACTTTGGCCCATTGGAAAATTTGCATATTAGGTGGGTTACCTTCTTAGTCAACTTCTCCACAAACTTGGCCCCAAGTACAAAACACAGATTTCTTAACAATACTCTATCTTTATCTCCATATTGTGAAACACAGAACCGAATATTTTCAAATCCAGACAAAGGAACACAACAAGGAAGTGGAGAATAGAGAATGTGTCCATTGGTATCCCACAAGCATCCATCCTTCATACCAGATTTATTTGCAATTATCAGTAAGATAAATAGATGTCAATATAAACAAACAAAAACAAGACGAATGTTCAATTGTCATTTCAAATATCAGTTTACAATTTTCAACATAATTAGGTTAACAATAAATAGCATTTCTTCGGCTCTAGATATCAATTCAGAATTAGCTTATAAGCTGTAACTAAACACATTTAACAGAACGATGACCATGCAGTACCCTAAGCAATACTTACTCAATTCCACCAATAACTATAAGGGAAAAGTTAATAGGAAAAATTTTAAGCATCAATATTCTCTATTTGTGCCACAGGGATGGAGTGAACTTTTTGGAGATCAAGAGGAGGCCATGGATGGACTTTTTGAAATATCAAACTCCTATCAATTTTTTCCATAGAAAAACCTCTCACAAAATGGCAGAACAATTTAAATTTCTAAATATAGGCAAAGTGAAGAAAAAAAAGTGGCAAAATATGTTGTCCAAAATTGACCACCGTTAATGGATCATTTTACTAGTTAAATTTCTGTGACACCTTCCCCTAAACATTAAATTGATGGTAACAATGTCTTTTATCTCCATTTTTCAATTTAATAGTATTGGTCCTTTATTTTATGAGAGCATGACTCAACACCAACCCAACGTCCCTTAATTCAAAGTTTCAACCCTAACTCAACCCATGTGATAATCCAAACTTGCAAGGGCTAAAATAAAATTTTCCTATACAGTTTTATACAAGTCTTATGTCAAAGAAGAGAGACACAAGAAAGACCCAACAGAAGAGCTGGAAAATAGAAATCGCAAATAAATCAGTCAAATGTACCTCTAAACATGATCGAACCCAATGACTCGACACATATATAGTTTGAATGCTCGAACTCCTTAGTGTAACACCATGACATTCAACCGTGAAGTGCACTTTCTGTTTCATATGATCCTCAACAACCTTCCCTCCCCCTTGATTTATCCATTCAACAATTTCAGCTCTCTAGTTGGAGAGAATTCAAATATGATCTTCAGAATATATAGCATAAATAAAATCGATAATATTGTCAAAGGCTTTATCTTCATATGCTAAATGGAAACGGTATGATCTTCACATGCTAAATGCTATTTGGCATTATCTTAAATCTGTTTCTCTTAAAAAAAATTAAAAAATTAAAATTTCCAAGATCATTCTTTTATCAACAATAACTTATGTTCTCCAAAGTTTTGGATGGGAGAATACTTGAGATGCAAATAAGTATACAACTGAGTGAGGCGAAAGGAACACTATAATTAGAATTATGCCTACTCCAAAAACTTGCTTTCAAAGTCATAGAGATAGAATTGTTGTACCATATATAGCTTTCTAAGCTGCAATAATGAACTACTATTTACCCTTAAACTCATCATAGATTGAACATAAGTCTCCAACTTTTTGCTTTTTTGAAAAATGGATGCTATATACCACAAGAATGTATCTAAAACCTAAGGTGCATATTGAACAATTTAGATCATGTTGCTTGTAATAAAAAGAAGGAATCTTCACAATGTACCCGATCTTCTGGAAAGGAACTTGAAAAGCAAAATATTTTCCCCTTAAACACACATGATGACTTCCCATTTTGAACAGTGAAATCAGGCCGCATCTTTTCTTGACTCTTGTTTATACCATTTGATACAGGAGGTTGCCTTTTCTGGGGTAATTTCATGGTCCTGTCTCCACTCACATTTGCTTCACTTTTTTCTTCAATTTTTTCCTCTATCATTGATGGCTTACCAATTCTAACTTGAATACTTCCTTCTAACTCATTTGATGGTATGGTTGGATGAACAATTGGAACTTTATTCTGATCCATATCGATGGTGCTTGCTTTACTGGATGCTGCAAAAACATAAGTAACAGCACAGAAAATTAGAACAGGACAAACAGGCTAAATATCTCCAAAAAAATTCTGGTATGCATCCTGATGAAATAACGCAGCATGCTATCTTGGTATATGAGCCATGCATATCAAACCTTTAGGGATAAGTGCATCATAGGCCATGTGTCTACCAAGAACAGGGATCTCCTTCTTCTGACGATCACAATCCTCAAGCCAGGTGGTTCTAACCACATGGATGACACCTGAAGCTGCAATATCTCTTACCTCTTTTTTCTCCCTGCAATTTGACGAATGGTTAAAACCCACTTCAGATTTGGAGGATAATTCATTCTGATGAAATCGAAAAGATCATTACGCAGCCAAGCTCACATATTAAAGCAATAGAGTTCACAAAAATTATGCTGCAATTACGTCACCATGAGCCACAAAAGTAACATGCATAAAAGTAAAAGATATTTACATTTCTGACAGATTTCCAACTATTATGTGTGTTAACTTGTTGTTGGACAGGATAAATCGGGAGCCTCCACCTCCGCGAATCATATTGACAATCTTGCGCAACTCAGAGGCTTCGAACCCAACAACTTTTATTCTACATGCTGATAAATACAGGTCATTGTCTTCAGATTGGAAGTCACTCGTAATACAATTATTACTGTATGTTTCAGTCTTTGCTGTCGTAACAGGCACTTCAACATCAACCTCATTTATACAATGAGTAGCATCTGAAAACATAGAAGTATTCTGTGACAAGGAAGGCTCTAAATCCATATCTGAAAACCCTGGACCAGAGACTGCTGAGAAATTTGAATCGGCAACCAATGAGGATGGTGCAGCTTGCAAGTTCCCCATAACCTTGTCTTGGCTATTTTGAGCAGTCAAGCAACCCCTTGCCATCTTATTTGAAGCTCCAACGCTACCAACAGGATATGACTCCTCATTAAGACATGCTATTGATTAAAAGCAGGAAAAGGGCATTTGAAAAGTTAGAAAATTTACAAAATTGTTTGACAACAAACTCTCAAATATTCAAAAGTCATTAACAGTTTTCAAATATACAACTCAAACCACTACCTCTTCTAGCTACGGATTGATCAAACCATTTCCGAGTAACAATATTGATATGGCCCCATGTTCGTGCAACCTTGTACTTGTCACCTTCAGGAGCTTACTTAACCATTAAAGAAAACCTTTTATTCAAACAAAAATATTAAGGCATCCCAGGAAGTAAACATACTAGTGCTACTATTTAGAAATGGATTGGCAATGCAAGCAACATGCTTACAATGACCATAAAAAAAATAAAAAATAAAAAAGTTTCGTTAGAGTGGTTAGCCATTGCCATCACTCAACCTGAAATAGAAACTAGAGAGATTGTCAAGAAATATAAAATATTAAAATTTAAACAATTTTGTTCTTGAATGAACTGCTACTATCCCCCTCATGTCAATCTCCCATCCTCTCAAGCTTTTTTGAAGAGATATGGCAATGCAACTGCTGCTGTAAAAGATCATTACTGCTGGAATCATCACTAGTACATGGGGAAGGATGATGAATAAACAAATCAATGCTCATATATCAGTACAATGTTCTGCTGGGAGTGCTTTTCACCATTTATAATCCATTTATTCTTTGATTTAAGCTGTGGGAAGATGCTTTCGAGTTTCGAGTAAATAAAATTTACTGATTCAAATGAAAAATAAAGTGCAAAAAACAAAAGTGGTGTCCAGAAAAAACTGCAAAAAGGATATATTACATATCAAATGTGTACACTTTCTCGTAAGATCAGCACAATATCTTCCACCATTTTGCAAGATAAGCTTTTCGATCTCCTTGCGCTCATCTGAGACACATAAATGTTAAAAGAATACGAGAAAACAATTTTATCTGAGCAGAAATAATATATTGTAGAACTCACTACCTGCTGGAATTCTAGATACAGAAATATTCAATCCAGAAAATGGAAGAACTCGATATGCCTCCTGAGGCACTACACGATGCTCAATCCAGCACTGTTGTAACCAACCAATTGTGACAATTGGTTTCTTTGAAATGTTTAGTGCCCACTGCAAACAGAAATAATAACAGATTTTGGTATCTGTCAAACTAAGAATGCCAATCTGAAATTGCAATAACTTTGCAGGCAGAATGAAGTTAAAATCCATTATTAGGCATGTTCCACGTATAAATCTTAAATGATAAATAAAAATCATGTCAACCACCCAGTATCCATGCATTTCTGACAGGAAGCACGACCTTGGGTTCAATACCATTTTTCTACCATCAACCCAAGAAGTTCAGCTTCGTACAAAACTTTACATGTAGGATATGCACCATAAAAGACTGAAATATTAATGTTTCAAACTAAAACCTTACTTTACTTAATAGAACCAATGTATAAGGTATCTCAATATAATCTAGCATGGACCTCAGGGTATAAGACAAGGAAACTAACAGGAACTACATATTAAAGAATACGTAAACTTCGGTCTGTTAAATTCATCCATCACCTACTGTTGCATATACTTCAAGTTAACGGAAAATTAGTAGTAATGTCCTTCCAGAGAGAATAACGAATCTTCCACATAAAAAATAACAAGCAGCTGAAAATAATCAGTCAATACAAACAAATTTAACCAGTTTCTTAAATCAAATGAGAAGTTGTTCCTGCATGAAATTAGAAATTTGGAAAAGTAACATCCTTGACTGCATTATGATGCAAAGAGTAAATATTTCAAGCTCATAAAAGTGGTGTCATTAAGTAGCTCTTAGTTGCAATTCTACTTTGTCTTGGGTGGATATTTATAAGAATTAAGATCGTTCAATACTATATCATTTAAATAAGAATGACGTTGAGTATTACTTCTGTCCTACTCGATTGCATCAATTATTTAGTATGCAGAAGGTTTTAAAGATCATATTCACAATTACATCGTGTTATGATAACAACTGTGTTACATAATAATTATTATAGGAGGAAAGAACCTAAATACACGTACGCATCGCGTCAATCAAATGGGAAATTCAAGCATCACAACCTTGTATTTTGCAGCCAAAACATTCTTCACAATGACAAAGCTGACATCTAGAGATGCTTTAGTATGCAATACTCCTCCCATTGCAGTAACTAACTTCCCTATCTCAACCTGCAATTTTGAATACTAATTTAGAATGCTATAAAAAGAGGAAAAATAGGAACGTCTGCAACAAACCTTTTCATCTGCCTGGAAACCAGATGCCAGAATTTTCACACCATCCATTGCAAGGCAACAAGTAAAACCCTGTTGAGGAAGAGGTCTGTGCTCCTTTGCACATGAAAGCACGCACTGAGGACCTTCCAAGAGCAGAAATTCAAATCGTCAGCAACCCATCTCTTCAAATAAATGACAATGCGATATGAGCACCAGACTGAAATGAAATTGTCAAACAACTAGGTTTCCCTATTCGGAAAGCAAGCGGGCAATGAAGTAATCATTACACGATCACTGAGCTACTGTTTATGTGTATCGAGCATTTCATAAATTAATCGAGACTTCCAATTTCCCGCTAATCTTACTCGCCGTTAGAAATTTGCACTCCGATCCTATATCCCGCATGAGAAACAAACAAAATCGAAAAAATGGAAATAGAAAGTACATAAACCTGCAACAACCATACCTAGCAAATTGCATCCCTTCGCTCGAAGATCCTCAAACTTTTCCTGGAAACCATAATCGAAAACAAAATAAATACACACAACCAATCTGAAGTAGGAGGAGAAATTAAACACGAAATCGATGAGGCATTTCGTACATGATCGGCGGAGGATATAACGTGATAATCGTTAGGCCCGTTTCGTGAGGGATCGCAGCAGAGGAAGACCTCAGCCCCATTCTGCTTCAGAGCATCGTGGACAGCGTCGAATATCTCCGGAGCAACAAGATTGCGAGACATGAACACGTTGGCTCCGGCGAAGGTCTTCGGCTTCAACATCTCCGCCGCTACTTTCTCTCTCTAACCTCGCCGAGAGAGAGAGGAGAGAGAGAGGATTATGGACTGTCACTCACTGTGGAACTGAAACGAAGGAGATAGTGTAAACGGCGGGAAGGGTTTTCGTAGAGTCTGTTCTGTTGCCATCCCTTGTTATATAACTTCAAACTTCGTTGACTCGGTCAAATCGTAAATTTTCTTGCGTAAAAAGTTAATTTCAATGTTGACCTAGTCAAACCTAACTTTTACTTCATAAATTAGGATTGAGATGTTAGGTTAATAAATAAATTTAATACTTTATCTGCTCAAAAAAATTATTATTTTATTTTCATTTCTTGTCAGCATAAAAAAAACTATATTATCGCAAATTTTATTTCAAAAAACAATTAAAACAATTTATTATTTTTAGATCAAAATAGTTTGTTATATTTATTGGGTTTAGGGTGATTTCTAGCTATTCCTTATAATATGGGTTGGAGGTGGAGATGCCAACTGTTGGAAGCTGATCACTGAGGGAAGGAAGCACCACGAAGTCCTTGGGTGGGAAAAGTGAGCCGTGGCGCGGAATACACCCACGCTTTATTAGATCATGTATGAGAATTTGTCTAAATACGATATGTATAGCTCAGATTATAAACTAACTTGAACGTCATAATACTCTACCTATTTTTGCAGGTCTCTTAGAAGAGACCGTTATGGACTAGCTCGTATGGATTATAACAAGGTATCAACGAGACTTAGACAGATTTCGACATCAATAATAAAAAAACGTACAATTACATGCTTGACATACTAAAAATAAAGTTCACTCTCTCTCTCATCAATATAGTCCTCACTTCTACTCACCCATGCTCGTTCCTACTCTTGATCTCACTCACCCTTGTTTGTTCTTTCTCACTCTCACTGCGTTCTGATACTGATTAAATATCGAAAGGACAAAGTTTATGGTTCACCTATTTGTTCGTATGAAAATTTTCATATCATGATCGTAACCTATTGAAAATGAAAATTGACAAAGAAAAAAAAATTATTGTGACTCCCTCAAATAGTTCGATCGTGATCTTACAATTTTCTCAAACATCGTTTCTATAATTAATTTTGATACGATTCAACTTCTATTTTATCAGGCTAACATGAACAAAAAGAAAAATTTATTTTCACTAGGAAAAGGTTAGGAAGACTTAAATTGAAAGTGGATATATATATATACCTATAAAAGAAAATTTTAATTAAGATAATTATATAATTATTTTAGTATTACATTTTTAACATTATCCATAAACAACTCAATCCGCGCCTCCAGAGCCTTCGAATGGTCCGGCGGCCACTTCACAGTTCACTCAGACTCCATTACAAAACTCCATGAACTCTACCGTCTTCCTCCTCTCCTCGCC